GGAAAGAGGTACCAATACACCCACACACCTTCCTTGCTGGTTGCTGACACAACCACTTGACAGATGATGAGGGGAAGGACTAAGGAAATTACCCTGTCTCATCCCCTTGCTTTCTTTGGAATTTTGCCCATCCCCTGTCTCCCTGGCTCCCTCAGCAGCTTGTTGAGCACCTAGAAAGCAGGACAGGCTGAGCTCTCCAGGCTCTTTTCCCTCCCAACCAGCCTCTCCTCTTGCCTCCTTCTCCAGATCCCTGGTCTGAAACCTTCACCTCATCACCATGGCCCTGGCCCGCAGCCCCCGGGAAGCATTGCTCTGGGCCTTGAATGACCTTGATGAAAACAGTTTCAAGACATTAAAGTTCTATTTATTGGATCATGCCAGAAGCATGTCTGGGAACCAGCGGCTCCTGACCCGTGGGGAGCTGGAGAACCTGGGTCAGGTGGACCTGGCATCTCGGCTGATTTTGAAGTATGGAGCCCAGGAAGCTGTGAAGGTGGTGTGCCAGGTCTTGGAGGCCATGAACCTGCTGGAACTCGTGAACCAGCTCAGCCACATTTGCCTCAATGGTGAGTGCAAAAGAGAGGGGGGAGGTCAGGGTGGCCCTAGCACCCCTCCCAAGGCCTGTAATTTATGCCGTCTCTTACTCTGCCCTTGCCTGGGAGTCTCTAGTACCCCAGGATGCCAGATGGTTTCCATCTGAAGGTTTCCATAACTGCCAGGTGGAGGGCTGAGGCCAAGGGTGGGTATTTATTTATATAAAAGTGATATACACTATCTGTGGCTGCGATGCCCCACCTCCTCCCTCCACTGCAAAGAAATAGGTTTCCATGGACTCCAAGTCAGGCTCCTGCTCAGATCTGGTTATCTTTAGCATCTGGGGGGTTCTTTACTGAGAACAGACTCCTATTGTTTCCCCATCTTCCAGTGTCCCTGTCCTTTCTCCTCCCGTGTCCTCACCTTTTCACATGGGAACATTTTGCACAAATGCTCATTCACACATTCTCACACCCAGAGAATTTTGCACACACACACATATTCTTACAAACACATACTTGCTGATGCACACTGACATGTTTTCCCTGCATACTGCACATGCTTCTGTGAGCACATTCTGTGAGCACATGCAGATGCAATCATTCCCACCCACAAGTATCCATGCAATACTCTTGCACATGCTAACAGATGTGCATATGCACACACACACGCAGACACACACTCATATACATATACGGTGATCCTTCTTCATGAAGCTAGAACCATAATCTTCAGGAAGCTACAGTCAGAGAGCATAGAAGATGAGACCAAAGAGCAGAGTCAAGGCTTAAGAGTCCACTTTGCCTTTAAAAAAATACTCCTGCTTTATAGCCTAACGCCTCATTTGTCTGGCTCAGATTACAGAGCTATATACCGAGAGCATGTGCTCAACTCAGAGGAGAGACGAGAAGGGGACGTCGGGAGCAGCTACAGCCAGCTACTCCTGGTGGCCAAGCTCCACTCGGGGAGCCCGGGCTCATCTGCCTGCTCCATCCCAGAACAGGAGGAGTTGGACTCGGTCATGGTGGATGCTCTGTTTGGTCCAGACCCTTCCTTAGTGGTGCTACAGGGAGCTGCTGGCACCGGAAAGACCACCTTGGCCCGAAAAATACTGCTGGACTGGGCCTCTGGTACCCTATATGCAGACCGGTTTGATTATGTATTTCACGTGAGTTGCAGAGACGTGGTCCTCTTGCTGTGGAACCAACTGGACAAGCTCCTGTGCTGGTGTTGTGGGGACAATCAGGCTCCCGTTGCAGAGATTCAGAGGGAGGCAGAGCGGCTCTTGTTCATCCTGGATGGCTTTGATGAGCTGCAAAGGCCCTTTGCAAACCAATTGGTGAAGCGAAGTTCGAGCCGCATGGAGGATGTGCTGCGCCTTCTAATTAGGAGACAGAAACTTCCCAAGTGCTCCCTTCTCATCACCACTCGGTCCCTGGCTTTGCAGAACCTGGAGCCTTTGCTGAAAGAACCGCTCCATATCCATATCCTAGGCTTCTCTGAGGAGGAGAGGGAGAGTTATTTCAGCTCCTATTTCGCAGATAAGGAGCAAGCCAGAAAGGCTTTTGAGTTTGTACAAGGAAATAATGTCCTCTTCAAAGCATGTCAGTTCCCGAGCATCTGCTGGATGGTCTGCTCCTGGCTGAAGGAGCAGAAGGAGAGAGACAAGGCCACCTCAGAGACACCCAGTAACAGCACTGACATCTTCATGGCCTATGTCACTACCTTCCTGCCACCCAATGATAGTGGGGACTGCTCTGAGCTCTCCCGGCACAAGATTCTGAGAGGTCTATGCTCCTTGGCAGTGGAGGGCGTCCAGTGCCAGAGGTTAGTATTTGAAGAAGCTGACCTCAAGAAGCACAATCTAGATGGCCCCAGCCTCACCGCATTCCTGAGCAGCTATGATAACCCAGCGGGTCTTGACATCAAGAAGTTCTACAGCTTCCGCCATATTACTTTTCAGGAATTTTTTTATGCCATGTCCTACCTGGTGAAAGAGGACCAGAGCCAGCTGGGAGAAGCATCCCGCAAGGAAGTGGAAAGGCTGCTGAAGGTAGAAAAGGAGAACAAGAGCGAGGCGATGACCCTCACTGTGCAGTTTTTATTAGACTTATTGCAAAAAGAGAACTCCTTAAACTTTCAGCTTAAGTTTTGCTTCAACATTTCTCCTTCTCTAAAGCAGGATCTGAGGCGTTTTAAAGAACAAATAGAAGCCATAAAGCACAAAAGGCCCTGGGATTTGGAATTCTCCCTGTATAAATCTAAAATGAAGAGTATGTTAGGAGGTATTGAGATGAGTGATGTATTGTTTAAGGTGGGGCATTCAAATGAAATAAAACCCCATAGCAAGTGTTCAGTTTCTGTCAAAGCCAGCTTGGGTACTGGACAGGAAAAGGAGCAACAGTGTCCTCTCGTCGGCAAAAGAAAGAGAGTAAAGGCATTAAATGGGGCTAATGGAAAAGACAGACAGGTAGAGGAACTAGACAAGGAAGTTGGGAGCAATGGGATGGAAGCAGAAAAATGGGAACAAGCACAGGCACAGGGCGAAAAGGATGGCCAGGTGAAGGACCAGGAGAATGGGGAAAAGAGAAAGTAGAAAAGGTTAGAGAGAGACCAGACTGACAGGTAGAAGAAGGAGTAAAAGATAGGAACAAACAGGAGGGAGAATTAGAGAGCAGATTAGAAGACTTGGAACAGAGGACCTGCAGAAAGACCATGTGAAATGAGGCCTCAGGGGCAACACATTTACCACCAATGGCTCATGTTCAAGGATTCAACCCCCTCCCTCTAGACGCTGTTCATAACCTCAAATAATGTAGAATCGAGTTGCAGGAGCTCCCCTCATATGTTGATGTCTATAAGTACCTTTGACTCTTCCCTATAAAATAAACTCTTAACTATCATAAAGTGTGGGTCGTGTGAATTCTAGAAGAAATAGATAAATGTGGGACATAGAAATCTCAGTATTTAAAGGAGATATTTTATTGTTGCATTGATGGAATATCCCTTTGACTCCCTAGTTGTGATCAATTGCTGCTTAAATATAGAGAAGCTTTCTGTTCTTTTTAGAAACTTACAGAATTTCCATATGTTAGAAATGAACCAGGGTGGGGCCAGCAGGTGGTATGGTGGTTAAGGCACTGGATTCCCACATGGCTGACCACAGTTTAAGCCCTGGACCTGGTGGCTTGAAAATCACACCAAGTATGTGTGCAAGCATGCTCAACATCCTAAAAGGGAAATGGAGGAGAAGGGACAGTGATGTGGCAATTCTTCTGGTGTGTGTGTAATTTATCACTTTCCCTCTCTCTGTCTCTCTCTGCCTCTTGTGAGTGCACTCAGCTTGTGGCAAAAAACCTGTAACATAAAAAGAAAACCAGAAAAGAAATCAGTCAGGGCTTGTTGCAGTCCTGAATGATCTTGGACACTGCTATGGTTCAAACTTGGAAGCTGTTATGTGCCCACCGAAGTTCATGAGTTGGGAAACTTAATCCTGATGCAACAGTATTGGGAGGCAGGACCTATAAGAGGTGAACGCTGTTATTGCAGGAATAGGTTAGTTATTTTGAGAGGGCGCTCCTGATTAAAGGGTAAGTCTGCCCCCTTTTCTCTCTGTCTTGTTCACTTGCTTTCCTTTCTATCTTCCTCCATGGGATGATATAACATGAAGACGCTAGCCAGATGCTGGAGCCATGCTCTTGGGCCTCCCAGCCTCCATAACTGTGAGTCAGATGCATTTCTTTATATATTACGTAGTCTGTAGTGTTCTGTTACAGCAGGATAAAACAGATTAAGACAGAGCTCTGCTGTGGCATGACTCAGCTGCCTATTAAAAACTGTCACTCATCCCTCCCTCGCTGTACCATTAATTGATTTTTCTTTTTGAAAAGATCAGTCAGTTTCAAGCACTAACTCATAATCTCACTTTCTTCAAAGAAGACAGAAGAAGAAAACAGTTCTAGTTGTAGGTGTAGTCAGTTTCCAGCCCTCATTTCATAGATAAGACAACTGAGTTTCATCTAGGAGCCTCACTGATTTCTGGGATTTCCTGGGGAGCTCTCCTACTTTCCACACCTCAGCAAGCAGGGTAGAGACCCAGAGAGACTCTGCAGGGATCTCAGACCTGGCCCAAATCCGGCAGTCGTTACTGGCTCCAATACGGCTGAAAACAGGAGACTCGGTGTCCCACAGAAAGGTACAGACATTTCTCTTTTTGCTTTTCACACATTTTTATTGTTGTCACAACCCTCTATAAATTGATTCTATTTGTATCAACTCCAGCCGTTTGCCATACCATGCCCAAATGTCGGAGTCCAAGGAAACTCTGCTTGAGTAGTCAACTTGGGACACCATGACACTAATGAGGAACTGTTTTTGACACAGGAAACTTGGAGGCTTGACACTTCACAAGGATAAACATGGACTGCTGAACATATATTTTGTGTGTATATACAAAATATGTGTAAGAAGCAGCATTTACGAGTGCGGAGACCTATTTAAAAACATGAATCTAACATCCAATTTAGATGTAGGTTTGTAATTTCACTTAGAATTCATGTTCCATTCAAACTATCTCAAGCAAAAATCAATGACCCAATACATTTGTTTAAAAAATAAACACCTGGGGCCAGCCAGTGGCTGATTAAAGGAGCTGGATCCCACACAACTGACTGTGCAGTTTGAGACCTGATCCTGGAGGCTTGAAAACTATGCCAGGCATATGCTCGCATGCCCAGAATTCTGAGAGGAGAATGAATGAGAAGGAATTGTGGTGTGGCCATTCCCCTGTAAGGTGATTTCTCATTTTCCCTCTTTCTCTCTGTCTCTATCTCTCTCTAGCTAGTGCATGTACCCTATAGAAAACTAAATAGGGACCAGCAGTTAGCTGGTCTCCCATGTAGTCGACTGCGGTTGGAGTCCTAGATCCGGTGGCTTAAACTCACGCTGGGCACGTGTGCATGCATGCCCAGGATCCCAAGAGGAGAATGGAGGAGAAGGGATTGCGACGTGGCCATCCCCCCTGGGGGGTGATTTCTCACTTTCTGTCTCTCTGCCTCTCTCTGCTTTCTGGTGAGCGCACACGCCCTATAGCAAAAACCTCTCTAAAAAAAAAAAAAAAAA